GCTCTTCCAGTTTATAAATAACAGTCAAAAGCCACCACGCGGTGTCAGGGTGTCCCCAGGCTTTTTCCTGTGGCTCTCAGGACTGTTGGACCGCGGTGCTGACCCCATGGTGTTTAGTCTCTGCCTGGGTGGATTGCGGTGGGGAAAAGCACGGGCTTTCCAGGGCGAGGCACTTGTGCACTTGTTTGTTTAGTTATCCTACTAATTAACTATCCTGCCCCCACCCACCGCAGCTGGGTGCACTGGTGCAAAACAGTAGCAGATGCTGTAGCTCAGCTGCGCCTCTGCTCACCCCTACAGGCAAAGTTCTCTGAGCTGCCATCTCTCCCTGTGACATTTTTTCCTTCTTATTTTTGCTGAAATATTTTTTCCCCACGTGGTCAGGAAACATATTTCTGACTGTGTTCAGCCTGTCCCTGTTTGCACGTTCACGTACCAGCTTATGCGTCTATTTATTTGCTCACCCTCCTGTACCTTGCGTGGACTTACAGCTTTCCCTGCAGCTCAAGAGATTTCCCCGAAACTTCAAAAGTACTTTTAGAAAACGCCCTCTGTGTCATCTCGGAAATGAGATGGCCTGATATGAAATAAAATGTTTTTTCACTAACAGGAGGAAATGAAACCAGCACTGAAGCGGAGAGCTGTGCACAGCTGCTCTTACTCTCTGCTTCCTCCTTCTTAGTACATCACACAAAACCAGCCATAAACTTGTGCAAAATTACGGAAGAACCATGCTCAGAGCTTCTCTAGAAAATCACTGTTTCTCCCCAGCTCCTTACAGGGAAGGCCATTTGGGCTGTTAGAGAAATGACCTTACATGTTGTATGCTCTGTTTGGTTTTTTTTTTTTTCTTCTGCTCAGGCTTTGTAAATTATTTAATATGGTGGGGTTTTTTGTGTTTCTCTTCCATTTTTCTTAAATTTTTAGGGGATTTTTCTCCATTTCAACCTCCGAGGTATTTAAATAACCCCCAAAAGGGTATTTCCCATCAGTGGTTCAGTGATAGCAGGCACATATTTAGCAGACATCCTGAGCAGATAGTCACTGCAGATGTGGAGACCTGCCTTGTGGTTAGGATGGAGGCATCTGCGGTGTCCCAGCTGCAGAGGACTGAGGCACGGAGGTGACGCCTATGCCAGCATCAAACTGGCAGAGCCTGCAGGCATAAGTGCTCCCTCTGCTTTGAGGTTCAGACCATGGGGGTCTCCAGTCTCCAAGAGGTTTCTTGCTGGAGGGCTGATGCTCTGGGGGTGGCATATAGCAGGTCTGCTTCTCCACCCCATCTCATTCTGGCAAATATTTGGGCTTAGTGTGGTGTTCCCTGGTTGGTAGGCCGATGCTCAGCTGTGCGAGTTAGGGTGGGAGATGTTAGCCGTCTTGATACGTCTGGCTGATGGTGACTTCGACCCTTGGAAGGGTTTGTGCCAGTTTGCCCATGTCCTTATTTACCGGCTCTGACTGTGGTTTTTCACCTTCTCTTGGTCCTGATGGCCCTGGTTCCCATCTGTCCCCTGCGCAGACACCCCTTCCCTCGCGTGTTCAGCTCCTGCAGCAAGAGGCAGCTGGAGAACTACTTCCAGAAGGGAGGTGGCATGTGTCTCTTCAACCTGCCCGACACCAAGGACCTGGTGGTGGGACGGAAATGTGGCAACGGCTTTCTGGAGGAAGGAGAAGACTGTGACTGCGGGGAGGTGGAGGTATGGTGCTGGGTGCTGCATCGCTTTCCCACAGAGGCTTTTGCAGCTCATCTCGGCTGCTGGGTGGCAGGACGTTGCCCACGTGGAGAGGGGTATTTCCAACAGAAAGGGGTTTGCTGGTCACCACAGGGACTCCATCCCAAGGGCTTTTCCCAGTCCCACCTTCCTAAAGCCATTTAACCTGGGCCTGGCTTTCTTCTTGACTTTGCCCCAGAGTGCGCAGGTCTTCCTCATCCCTCCCTGGGTCTCAGTTTTCCCATTGGCAAAATGAGAAGAGCAGTGTTGTGATGCGTGGACAAGAGGCTGCGGGCAGCACTGGGGAAGGGATAGACTCACTGATCGTGGTGTTGTCGTCTTCTCTCCACGCAGGAGTGCACCAACCCATGCTGCAATGCACACAACTGCACGCTGAAGGCAGGAGCCCAATGTGCCCACGGTGACTGCTGCCAGAATTGCAAGGTGAGCCCCCTCCCCACGTCTCCTGCCATGCCCACCCGCCTGCCCATGGGCTGAGCAGGGATATACGGTCCCCACCATTCCCTCGGGACTCAGGTGCTACATGTCCATAAGCTCAACCCCCCCGGTGCCAGATGGGGAGGGTTATGCTTAAACTTGTGTCTGCAGGAGAGTCTCTGCTGGCTGCTTTGTGGCTGGGGTCCAGCCCAGAAATTTGGCTTTATACCTTGACAGCCTCATATAGTCACATGGGGGACATTATAGATGGTTTATGGCCCCCAGCTGTACCAAGAGGCAGCAGCAATCCCAGCTTGGCCCCTTTGCTGCCACTCAGTGCTGATGTTTCTCTCTCCTCCTGTGGCAGCTAAAGGTAGCTGGAACAATCTGCAGGGAAGCAGCAGGATCCTGCGACCTCCCCGAATACTGCACGGGTGCCTCACCCTATTGCCCAGCCAATGTGTACCTGCTGGATGGTTCGTCCTGCGCTTACGGCGAGGCTTACTGTAACAACGGCATGTGCATGACCCACCACCAGCAGTGCGTCCAGCTCTGGGGACCAGGTGAGTCCCACTAGCCCCAGCCCTTCCACCTTGCCACCCCTTTCCAGAGCAGGTGCCATATTGGGTCTCAGTGCTGTCCCTGCATGTGGGGTCCCTGTGGCCCCTGCCCGTGGGACTGGCGGGTAGTGGATGGAGGGGTTGTGCTGTCCCTATCCAGGGTTTGGGTCTGTGTCCGTGGGGCTGGTGTGGAGGGCTCGGGGGGCGCTGTGCATGCACACTCCCAGGTGCCTGGTCCTCTGCTGTGCCCATCCACCCGCGGCCTATGGGTCCCACACTGCATACTGCCCATACATTGCATACAGTCCCCATGCTGCACGGGACTCCATATGCTGCAAGTGACCTCCACGCTGTAGTGCAGCTCATACGCTACATGTGGCTTCAGCTCTGCATATAGCTCATACAGCGCATAGACTATATGGCCTTCTCGCTTTAGTTATCCCAGATTTTGCGTACGGCCCTCACACTGTTTACAGACTCTATACTGCATATGGCCCATAGGTGATGTGGCTCTTATGGCGTACATAGCCTGCATAGTGTATATGGCCAGATCCTTTGTATGGTTCCACACTTCATATAGCTGTACACGGCCAAAGACTGCATACAGCCCCTATGCTGCATATGGTCATTGCTCTGCATATGGCCCATAGGTCGTACGCTCCGTATGGCCATCTGCTGTCTATGGCCCCCAGTTGCGTGTGCCCCCATGCTGCATAGGGCCCCCACACTACATATGGCCACCCGCAGCCGTGTGCTGCACCCTGCCCGTGTGCACACTACGGTCCCCAGGCCCGCACTCCCAACACCCGGCTCGCACCCGTGTACATCCCTCTACTGCTCCCACCCCATACAGGGCCCATAGGTACCCATTTGCACAGCGGTGCTGTCACCCCCAGGTCCAGCACCTGTGGGTGGCCCCAGGAAAGCTGCAGCTGCACAGGAGGGAATCTTCCCCCAGGGCCAAAATCCTCTGCAAGATCCCAGAGCAAAGGGGTTTTCACCCCTCTTGTGCTGTTTGTGTCCTGGCACCCGCAGCAGCAACTCTCTGGGAGACTTTTCCATGGTATTTTCTCCATGACCATCCAGCCGCTGCGCCCGGTTTTGGTATTTCTCCCTGCTGGCTGCTTTCCCCACTCCAGGCGAGATCTTTCCTCCCTCCCCGCAGGCGCCTGGCCAGCCCCGGATGCCTGTTTCCAGGATGTGAACATGGCCGGCAACACCTACGGCAACTGCGGCAAAGACAGCCAAGGGCGCTACGTGAAATGCGACAAGAGGTGGGTGCAGCGCTGGCACACATGGATGTCCCATCTCCTCCCGCACTCCCAGCTGCCCACTGCCCACCCCTGTGAAAGAACTGGCAGGGTCCTACCTCAACCTCTGGCATCACCCCTTGGGCCAGCTCTATTTTGGACCTGAGGAAGCCACCAGGTCATTCCTGGGCTCAGTCCCCATCACTGCTGGGAGTTTGTCCTATCATGCATCATCTCCCAGCCCAGTCTGAAGGGAAAACTGAAGACGGCATCAGCAGGAGATGCTATTTAGGGAGCGTGTGCTCTCCAGTATTCCCAGTTATACCAGGGATATTAGAAGGATCTCCCCTGCCTGTTCCCTCCAGCATTTCTCTATGCTGTCCATGGTTTATCT